GGTGACAGTTCTCTCTCACCAATCATTTTTTAACATTTTGATGCATGTCTATGATCCCGCTGGAGGAACAGAAAAGTTTACTGGCCCTCAATTTTCAGATGATGAATGGAACACTCTAAATGTGCGATTTCTGTATGAGGTATAGTTCATTTTAAGCAATTCTAGTAAATGGGTGTCACTGATTAGGACAAATAGTCTACTTGTGCAATAGCACAAATGGTATGTCTCATTCTTCTGGCCTCCTTTGAGACAGAAAAGAAAGGGGACAACAATGACCCTGATAAACCTGGAATTGCTACTGTTTAAAAAAGAGCTATTATATAATATACATTATCCAACATGCTATTGACTTGATGCTACTAAATCATTTCTGTATGTTTAGCATTGCCCTATTAATTAAAAATGTATGTCATGCTGAAAAACCTTCTTTATAAGAAAAGACAGTTAACTGGGATCTCTTTCTGTTCGACAGTACTGTTTTAAGAAAAATACATTTTACTCTAGCGCAATAAGGCTGTTAAACATATAAACAGAGGTGCTTTCCGGTTTTGACTCTTTAATGCTAACTTTGACTGACTTAGAAAGACCCGTCTTGAAGAAAGGGCAAGAATATTTGTTCTAGCTTTATTTTTTTCAGCTTGCTAACAACTGATCCTGACACAAGGTCTGATCAATAAATAACCAATACTGTAATAACAGTGACTGTAAGTTGCTTCAGGACAACAGCACTTAAAAAAAAAAAAGGAAATGCAATATATATGAATTAGAAATGCTGAGGATTTCATTAAAACGAATGTAACCGTACTTTTTTTTTTTAAGGCTTTCCAATAAAGTCCTGTACCCGTTATATGTATTTTTAGCATTCGTTTTGCAGAGTCACCAGATTTCATACTTAAGAACAATAATTGAATATGTACAAGAAATAATCAGGTGATTCAAATTTAACTAAGGCATTAGCATGTAGTTTAGCATAGTAAAAATAGTATGATTTGTGGGAGGCAATTAACAATCATTTGCTCTGTGGATACAAGTAATTTGTTTAAAGAGCACTGACCTATGAGACAGCTAGTTTGTGTTGGCTGTGATGGAAGGGAGCTATTGACTCTAAACAGTGTAACAGCGCCATTGACAGAATCGCATTTGAATGCACACAAAAGATCTCGAAAATACTTGAGGAACACGAGATCTTTCAGAGGGGGAAGTGGAGTGGGGGTTAACCGAGGGAACCCAGCCAAAGCGGAGGTCTCCATACCGAGGCAAAACCGAGCCAAACCGAAAAATCTGGACAATGTAGTGACTAAAGAGGGCTTCCCCCCCTTGGTGCTGTGCCAGCCTTAGAGCCCGGCCGTACTTCTTCAACATAAATACTCTATCAGAAGGAACACAAACTGTGAGCGATTACTGGTTGAGTAATGGTTTCATAAGCTTAAAATTGAATGCAAGTCTTTGTGCAAAATAATCATTTTTATGTTCACATCTAGCAAATGCATTGCAGACCTGGGAATGGTTCCATGTATTCAACATTCACGCTTTCTCTACGTCTGCTTTGGACATGTTTGCAATCGAATGCCAGTACCTTGTACAGCAACCGGGTACAGTCTACTGCAAATGATCTGCTGTCTCCTGACAATTTGGGTCATTTCTTTAACTGAGCAAAAGAAGTTATCAAAATAAGGGTGTGCAACAGAAACATTAGGGTGAAAGCAGTCAGCATAAAAAGTTCCAAGTGCCAAACAGCATTCTTTGAAGCTATTTTAACATACACTGGGTCAGACTATACTTCCTTTACTCGCTAGGAAATCATTATGCAAAATACACACTTAGAGAAAACAGTAACGGAGTGGCACAAATACATTGTAAATACCGTACTGCTGCTCATCTTAAAGTAAACCAACAGAATCTACAGAGCTTAAAATATGTGTATAAAGGTGCAATTTTATCTGTAACATAATTTCATTTAGAAGCATACAAATCACAATTTGCCATAATCAAATAACACCGCAGTGCTTATATTCTAATTAAAAAATAATCTCTGATATTTAATTGAGAAACCTGGAAGACTTTCCCAGCAAAATTATGGCTACAACGTGCACAAACCACTCGATTTACTCAGAGAGAGAGAGAATTTTTCAGGTAGCACTTTTAAAATTATTATTAAACAACCAAACGATGCACTGTTCGATATATATTAAAACAAGTATTGTACCCAGTTATTAATTTGCACTATTCACTTTTAAATGCAGCAAATACCTCATTAATTTAATTTTAGGTACCCACCAGTTTATATTGCATTTTACAGTCTAGAAGGCAATTTACTATTAACTGGCAATTACATACAGAATGATTGTTAATTCTGCTCCTAAGTGCTAGCTGCTTGAAAATTGTTATCTCTCTCTAATTTTTGACCTTCTTACAACAGGGGTGAGGTATACTGGGAATACAAAGGACTAGTAGAGAAGAGCTGGACATGTCATTTGTGACTCATTCTTTTAATTCACCGTGCTAATCAACTGAACTGCCACAATCTCCCAAGGTAATTGTATCTTTATAATAGTTGAAAGCAGCGGGCAAAAAGGCATGGATAGATGGGGAAAGGCCTTGCCTTTGCCTGCTGAGAGACGGCGTGCTCTTCCTTCTGTGTGAGACTAATGGGGGCTTTTTAGAAAAATCTGGAACTTTCATATCTCTGCACCCTGATCATTTAATGTCTCAACTTCCCTGCTCACAAAGGCTTTGTACACCACACTACACTCTTGTTTCATTATTCTGCAGCCTTGTTGCCCTATGGTCTACCTCATGCTGGGAAGGTTAAATGTTAGAGTGCCAAGCCAGACTGCAAGCATGGTGGGACACTGATGGGAAACAGATGCCCTGGGGATTCAGCCCCTCCCTCCTCTAGGGCTACATCATTTTCATTTTCTGAAATACAGTGAGCCTTGGCTTCGCTCTCAATGGCAGCTGTAATTTCCAAAGACTATCTCAGTCACCCTATCACTTCAGGATAAAGCAAAGCAGGCAGAAGTTTCTCCGTCAGGCAGGCTTTATCTTTTCATTTTCTTATTGCTGGGATATAGGCTTTTGCCTCTCTCAAAAGGTGTTTTAAATATATAGTCCCATTAAAGTGTTGTTAGTAATGTAACTTTATTATAATTTAATTCCAGTGGGAGAAGCTCCTGACATTCTCACGATTCTTCTGAACATCTTTACTTAGCGACAAAGACAAAAGACGACCCCAGGAAAGAAGAAACAAACGGCTTTTCCTTACAGTTTCTTACATATTTGCATTTACCCATTAGAAAGAAGTTCAAAACAGCAAAATTTGCCAAATACACACCTAAGAAATCAGTTTAAGACATTACTATAAAGCAATTCAAAATTCCAGGACTGTGCACTAAGAGCCAGACCGTCATCTGGTTCAAATCTGCAGCACTTCCCTGTGTGCAATGGAACTGCACCAGCTCGCAACTGCTAAAATATCTGGAACTTAGTCTAAGGCTTTTAATTCATTCATTTTTTATTTTGCTGAACACTCATCTTGGCTAAATAGTCATACTCGTCAGGATACTCTGCAGAAGCTTTACATGGACTGTGTTCATAACAGCATTTTTAAGGCTGTAACCATGACTGCATGCAGCCCCACCTGCGGTTACCACCTTTGCAGCAGACTACGAAACAACGTCTGCTTTCCAGATATGTTGTTAGCACCAAAAGCACCATGGGCACCACCGTCCCATTTGGTAACTCTGGTAGCAACATAATCAGAAAGGTCAAGAAAATGTAAATATTCTCTCCCTTGTCAGCCAGAAGTGAGGCACCCAGATGTGAATGCGAGCATTGGTTGTGATTTCTTTGAGGATAGATGGAAGATAGGAATCTCAGATGCTACCTTCACTTAAAAGTTCATTTCAGCAATAGATTTTAGGCAGACAGAAAAACATATCCACAATGCATTAACTGTTTAAAAAGTCCTAGCTTAAAACTACCCAGGAACACACTTTTCCTATTAGATCTAAATTAATAGATAGAAACAGTTGCAGTCTAGTGGGAAAATATTCATCAAAATGCACATCATCTGCACATCATCTGCAATCTGCATTATCTACCCAATAAGCAGCAAGAACTCTCCCCGAATCCCTGCAGTCTGACGAGTAAACAGTTAAAGGCTCTTTGTTTTCAAAAGAGAGATTGATTCATCAGATCAAATTTATTACCTAGAATCCTCATCCAAAAGTACGGTAAATCAAATTGCTATTTCTCCCTTTTCCCTCCCAGCACCTCAGTTAAATTCATTGTTAAATGCCAGAAAAACTGTAATACACATTTTAGATAAAAAGCCAGCAATACTTCATCCCAAAGTAAGAATTTTCATATTATAACCACTGGAAACCACAAAGTTCCGACTTTTTCTTGTGCTCTTGTAAATTAAAATCAAATGTATTTAAAAGAATTGACACAAATAAATCATTCCCAGGCTTGTGAGTTCGTATCCCAAGTTTCAGGTCTGGAAGAATTTTTAGAGCCAGATTGTGAATAAGGTTGGATAAAGTTATTTGGATCCAACAACAGCTACTTGGACCGGTGCCTAAAACTTCAACTGAACCTTTAGGGAAGTTCAAGAAGTTTGGATAGATGTTCTGAAAAATATTTTTCATCACTGAATACTTCTTAACTTCTTTTTCTGGCTGGAGCAGAGTAGGAAATACCGTTCTTAATCTATTTCTGGACAAAATGAAAACAGGAAGTAACAGGCACCTTGTGAGAGAGCTTGATCTCATGAGACATCGAGACATTGTTAAGACCCAAGAGGCTCGGATAGGCACCAGAGCTTCTGGGTGCCCATACGAACAGGTATTTTGAGGTCCAGCTACCACCAGCTACATTTCTTGCAAGACACATCCTATTTTTTAACAGCATTGTAATGTTCACGCTTTGCATTGCCTGTATATCATTAAGAGATGGAAATTATTATCCTGAAAGGAGTAAGGAAACCATACACTTACCAGTGTAGACGAATCGGCCGGGAGCACCTTTGCAGAACTGTTTGGATTTGTAGGAGAGAGTT